TGTCCGTTATTCACCGAGAATAGCTTAGATAAATAGATAATTAGCTTATTTATCTGATATTCTAAGGATCAAACTCGTTTTTTCGTCAGGCCCCGATGGAGTACCAGGCTGTGTGCTAAAATACTGCGCCAGGACTCTGTACAAACATCTTCATAAACTTTACAAATGATCTTTGAAAACTTCGATTTTTCTTTCATAATTCCCTTACATAAAAAAAGGGGAAAGGTCGGTTGCTGCTAATTACAAAAGTATCTCTAAATTATCGGCAATTCCAAAGTTATTTGAAAAATTATTTACTCCTCATTTGCAACATCTTGCCCTTCGATCATCGATCATTACATCCTTTGTCATAAATGGCTTTCGAAATGGATTTCATACTGATGTAATCTACACAGACTTTAGCAAAGAATTTGATTCAGTCAACCACTCGCTCTTTTTGAGTAAACTGAAAATGCTGGGATTTTCTAAAGACCTTCTAACGTGGATCTCCAGCTACTTAAATGAAAGAATACAAAGATTCTTATTTAAAAAATATAACTTTTTTCTTGGTCCGTGCTACATCTGGCGTCCCTCAAGGAAGTCATCTTGGCCCGTTATTATTTACGTTTTTATAAATGACCTGCCCCCTGCTTTAACGAGCTGTCTAGTTCTTATGTATGCACTTCTGGATATTCATTGAATGACGTGTTGATGTCTGTCTCAGTTATTCAGCCAAAGTTGCTGCATATTCTGTTAAGGTTCCGATGCCATCGGGTGGCCATTTCTGGAGATATTTGCGAAATGAATCGTTGCATCAGGGTTTTTCCTGAGGACAGCTATATTCAGTGCATTCTTTGACGGGATTCCATCCAGGATGAGTTGCAGGTTTTTAAGTTGGATACACCCATGGAACGCCCTGTCCGTGCTACATCTGGCGTCCCTCAAGGAAGTCATCTTGGCCCGCTATTATTCACGCTTTTTATAAATGACTTGCCCCCTGCTTTAAAGAACTCTCTAGTTGTTATGTATGCAGATGTTGTAAAGCTTTACCTTCAGTACAAATCCATCTCTGCCCAATGCAGTCTTCAGTCTGACCCTGATAACTTTCAAAAATTGTGTTTAGCTAACGATTTAATACTTAATGGATCAAAATGCAATCTTATGTCTTTTTATCGTTCTTGCCCTCTGCAGGCTAAATATTTTCTTTACGGGATTGCCTTAGAAAAATTAACTCAGGTTAATAATCTCGGTGTCCTATTAGACATTAAACTTAAATTTGCCGACAATATTTCCTTTATGGTTAAAAAGGCTTACGGAGTCCTTGGTTTTATTAAAAGGTGGTCAAAAGAATTTAATGAACCCTATATAACCAAAACATTATTCATTTCTTTGGTCCGTCCTATACTGGAGTACAGTTCATGTGCCTGGTGACCCTAATATGGAGTACATCAGGACCACATAGAATCCGTACAAAAGAATTTCCTAACTTTTTCACTTAGAGGTCTAAACTGGGATGCAAATCTTCACCTTCCATCTTATAATAGTAGACTCTTACTCATAAACTTACCTAGCTTAACAAATCGTAGGACAATGTTCGGTCTAATCTTTTTGCATAACCTTATTAACGGGGATGTAGATAGCCAGCATTTACTAAAACGCTTAAAATTTAACATTCCTAATAGAAGGACTCGAAACTTTAGTCCTCTGTTCCTTAGCCGTTGTAGTTCGACATATGCACTGCATTTGCACCCTTTTAGGGTATTATGTTTGAACTACAATGGTCTCTACTCTATTACATCTCTTTCCTGTCCCTCAAATTTAAAATATAGAATTTTAAATTTCCTTACTAACTCCTCCTAGCTTAATAAATTATAAATAGTTATAAATTATTATAAATAAATTATAAAAATATTCTAACAAATCGTTTCTTGAGCGCCCCTCGGTCGTCTGGGCCTCTAAGCTTTATGATGAATACAGGAATGCTAGCTGATGCTCTTATTGATGCACAAGCCATTTCCAAATTCTGAAAGACCGGTAAAAAAAAAAAAAAAAAAAAAAAAGTATTTTTGAAGATAGAAGAAATTGGTTTTTTAATGAAATTCTCATAAGGATCGGCAACTATATCCGATTTTTGCGATATATTTCGTATCTTAACTGCAAGGATATATATGAACTTTGGCTCCGCCTGAAGTTAGCTTTCCTGTCTTTTTAATAAATATTAATAAACGAATAATAATCATGGCTCTAACTGACTAACAAGCTTTCGATATTTTATACCTTCAACTTAACGAACGAACGAAAATTGCCCGGAATTGTATTCTTGTAAATTTTTTTTTTTAGGAAATTGGTTTCATCAAATCCTTATACGGATTACCCAACCATATCCAATTTTGCGATACATATCTTATTTGCGATCTTCACTGCAATGGTATTTAAACTTTTGCTCCGCCTGAAGTTAGTTTTTCCGAATGTTTTTTTTATTATTTTAAATTATTAAATTAATTATATTTTAAATTAATAATAATATTGTCAGGCCAATTTTCTTGTTGATAAGGTCACTTATCCGTCCATTGTGTCCTCCTCCAGCACATTTAATATGTGAGCAGTTATTGCAGAGCCAACAGACAGGTATGAGTCAACCGTGATGGTTCCACCAAATTCACATTTTTTTGCTGTGCAAGTAAGACTCATTTTTGGCTTCTTTTTGACGGAATGCGGACCACTGTAATAGCGTGTAAAGAATTTAGGCTCTCTGAAGCACTCTGTAGCCGAGAGTGGACGATCAGATCGGATGTAAGAGATGACGTTACAAAAGAGATGTGCAACGAAGGTTCGGCGTCGTGAAGAACAACAAACTCCACAGTAACTATGAATGTAACGGGTTACGTCCGGAGAGTACAGCTCGGAGAGACTTATGTTGGAGAATATAGTTAAAGCGCAACAGAGATAACTTTAACCGATTAAATGTATAAATTGGAAATAAATAGTTCAATGAACTTATTAAGTCGAATTTATTTTTAGGGATTAATTGTTATTATTCAACTTGTCGCAGAAGGAGAAAGCTTGAGTTCATGATCGAAAACAATTGCAAACTGGCAAGAGCGATCGAAGAAACACGTCCGGGTACGGCAAGTGAATATACAGAACCGATATAAGTATATAAGTATAAGTATAGATGGGACATCTCATACAAAGAAATATTTTCTATGGCGGGTTCCAGGTTAAGTTAAGTTTGAGATATTTTTCGCGCGACAATGAATGAGGAATAGCCGAGTGGTAGAGTGCTTGGCTGGTGTGCAAAGTAAAATGAGTTCAAACCAGGCTCGGGACATCCATTTTTTTTTAATTTTAAATCTGTTTATATTATATTTTTATTCTTTTAATGTGTTTTCCTAAATAAATAATTCATTAAAAAAAATACAAAATTGTAAAATCACCTTAACATTGCCTCAGTTCGTAGTGGAACCCGTTGTAAAAATGTCTATAAGTGCGGGTTCTACGGCATTTTGGCAGGCCGCGTCGTGGGACCCGCTCTCAAATGTTTTCATTTTTTCCGTCGTGGAACCCGCTGTAATAATGAAAACATTTGAGAGCGGGTTCCATGACAAACGGCTGGCAGATGAGAGAGGGAAAGAGAGAATTCTATTTTTAGATCGTAACATCTTTGGAACGATGAAAGTTTGAAACGTTGTAATCGAACCAATGTATGAGTAAAGAGATCAGAAATATCTTTTACTATCCTTACTCGTCAGCTCTGTTTTTGGTATGGATTCTAGCGCCTCCTTTAACACCAATTTTAAGTATCATAAAATCAACTTTGAGGGTGGCCTAGATGGATAACGCGCGGTCCTTATTCATGGGGTCCTGGGTTCGACTTCATTAGCGGGGCGGTTGTTTCGATTTCGATAAAGTTTTAGTTTTATGATTATTTTTATATTTACTTTTATTTTTGTATTATTTTTTTTTTTACTTTTAATTTTTACGTTATTATTATTATTTTTAATTGCATTATTAACAATTAACAATTGTTGTAAAAATAAGTGACGGACGTGTCGGATGACAAAATGCCGGAAGGACTCCCTTGAAATTTTATTAGCATTTTATTAACGGGACATAATAAAGAATAAGACAATTTACCAATTGTAAAATTAAAGAAAAATATTACAATTAAAGAAAAATAAAAAAAAATAATAATTATAAAAGAAAGAAAAAGTTCAAAGTCTTGACGAGGATTTGAACACATACAATACTAACTATAATACTAATACTATAGATTTACTACTCTATGCATTACGCTACCATCCTGTCTCGATCTGCGGCGATTAAAAATACTATTTGTTCTACCAACTACTACTTTGGCGCATCGAAAACAGAAACGAGAAATTGAAATTGAAATTTGGAAGCCAAAACATTTTTACTCCGTCGTGCGAGCAGTCACACATACATACAAAGGTTCACATTTTTGTTGACGGATACATGTAAAGAGTTCTAAAAATAGAATCGTATGCATGTGCGTTCCCCCTCACCAACAAGCTCGAAGAAAAAAGTTAACCGTTTTGGGCCCTGATGTCCCATCTATGTACTTTATAATCTTTGCTAATACTAATATAGTACAATTTTATTCATTATATACATGAAAAATTTAACTCTCGGCCAAATATCACCAGCTGACTGCTGGGGCAGCACATACCAAAACCTGCTACGGTCTGTTAATGTTTCGCTGACGGTGTGGATAATCTTAGTTCGCTGCCAGTGCACCCCGCTACCCACAAAACTTACGCCTCTATACTCCACACTTACTCACTTCGTTTTATGGCTCCAAATTAGACCTTTAAACTTACATTTGACTTACTAAAACAGTTTCGTCGAAAAGTTTAATAGTCATACATTTAAGATACTTTTAACTTCCCTTGAAATTCAATTTGATGAAAAATAAGATAAATAATTTATTTTAAGAAGGTTTAAATTTTGAAAAAGACTATTACAATACATATTTTATAAATTGTATCTTTTAATTACAGACACTGCCTCGTATAAAGATCAATATTTTCCTTTGTTACATCGTGGGAAAAAAAATGCATGCTAATGTCACTTCAGATCGCGGAAGTGGTGCAGGGGGCTCTTGGAGACTTCCACCAGATGAAACTTTACAGGTGCAAGATCCAAAACAAAAAGACCATGATCTTGATTTAGACGAAGGTCACAATTGGAGAAGTATAATCTTTTCCTTAATTGTAATTAGTTTCGTAATAGCTGGTATTATTACTGCTATATACTTACTGGGGTATAATTTAAAACTTTAAAGAATGTATTAAGTTCTAGAAAAATATATTTTTCAGATATGTCGATGAGCTACTTTATTGGTCAGGACGTAGGATGATTCTAGATGAATACTTACAAGGAGATTTAATGCCAACAAGATTGCCACCTTCTTGGGTTACTACTCGCAAATATGTATTTCAGTCAGACGATGGTGGGTTAGCAACCTTGGATACAACTACCAATTTAATAAATGTCTTAGTAACTAATCATACTCTTCGCCAATTAAATGTTCATGGATATTTATGCTCCAAAGATCTCAAGTATGTTTTATTTAAACATAATGTTAAAAAAGTAAGTAAACATTACTTTATCGTAAATTAATATGCATAAACCTTTTTCTTTTAGACTTTTTTAAAATCATTTACGGCATTCTATACAATTTATGATGTGGAAAACGATCATCATATGCCCGTGAAAGTGAAAAACTCCTTAAAAGTTCAAAGAACTCGACTGCAATATGCCGCTTGGCTTGGAAATACAACCGCAATTATATTTGTTATAGAAAACGATATATTCATCCGTCAATCTCCACTTATAGAAAATGATATAAGAATAACTTCAACTGGAAATGAAAACAAAATCTACAATGGTGTCCCCGATTGGCTATACCAAGGTAATTTTTTTGTGTAAATTAAAATGTTTGTCTATTTAATCAGATTCTAACTTCGCTAACTTCGGGGGGAGCCGAAGTTGATATACCCTTGCAGTTAAGACCGGATACTTTTATTATTTATTATTAACAATGATCTGTTATTCTAGAATCTAGATTATTATAAATAAAAGTAAGGATAAATTAAGATAAAAGATATTCCATAATTTTGGATTTATTTGCATCTAGGGATAGTTCAGGGGATAATAAATGGGACAATGACTTATAATTTTTACAAATAACGCGAAATGGATCGGGTTCAGCGAAATTAGACCTAGAAATTGGTAACCAAAGGGGTCGGAAGGATCTTATTCCTCTATTAGGAACAGAGAACATTAATTTTTCAAGAAGTACTTGTGAGTCCACCTGTCCACAACTACGGCGCTCTTTTCAATGAGGTAGGTTTAATAGTATTAACCGGCAATGATACGACGGAAGGCAAGTGGCAGTATCCCAGTTTAAGCTTTTTAATGCAAATAGCAGGAACTGCTTTTGGACAGATTCAATCCTCCTTTCGTGAACAAAGTATTGCGGACTCCAAACGCTAGAATAGTATTCCAAGATAGGACGAACCAACGATACATATAGAGTTTTAGTTGTGAAAGGATTATCAAATTCTTTAGACCAACGTTTGATAAAAGCTAGCACACCTCTGGCTTTATTAACTGTTAGTGATATGTGTTCGTTTAACGACAACTTATTGTCAAAATGGACTCCAAGATCGTTCATTAGGGAAACATGGTCAAAGACGTTATTCCTAAGAGAGTACGAAACGATGTGAGGCACACTGCGATTGAACGTCATAACCTCACACTTAGATCAGAAGAGATGTTCACCTGTTTTACGTTGCGCGCGGTATATTTTGAGATCGCCTACAGTCTAGATACCAGTTCATGTATCATGTGCCTAGCCAATTTTATGGCCCTTCGAGGGACACCGAATAAATGTTCTCAGACAACGGTACAAATTTCAGAGCCACGGAAAAAGCCGTGCGCGAGGAGCTGAAAAAGATCGAGAACGATAAGATCCCCATTAAGTTCGACGGCATAAAGTGGTGATTCAACCCACCAGAAGCACCGCACATGGGTGCAGCATGGAAAAGACTCGTCCGGACGACGAAAGGAATCTTTAAGAACATATGAACAAGTTACTCTTTCAACGACGAGGGGTTGAGAAACGCATTGATGGAGGCACAATTTATCATCAACTCGGGACCTCTCACGTTCGTAAGTCTGGATTCCGAGGCTGACGCTGCCCTGACTCCAAACCACCTGCTGCTAGGATCAGCTAGGGAATGAATCTGAAGCGTAGATGGAACGAGACTCAGCGCTTCGGAGACCGCTTTTGGCAACAATGGGTTAAGGAGTATGCACCCGTATTAACCAGGCGCACCAAATGGTTTAAGAAGGTACCTCCATTCACCATCGGAAGCATTGTCGTAGTCGTGGATTAGATTCTCTTTAGGAACATGTGGCTAAAAAGACGCGTGACTGACGCAATGATGGCCAGGGATGGACAAGTTCGGCGGGTGACCATCACGACGCAGCATGGTGCTATAGAAAAACCAGCAACAAAGGTAGCAGTTCTGGACGTCGGCTTGGAGAATGGTAGCTGACCACGGATCGGGATAAATTACGGGGGAGGGAATGTTACCGCCGTCATAGAATTGGGTTTATATTTGAAAAATGAAATCGTTAGAAATAGTGTTGAATAATGTTTAGAACAAGTTTTGAAAAATGCTAGACGTAAGCATATCGATATATGAAAAAATGGCGGAAGAACGAGGCGTCTGCGATGGCTAGGTGAAACTAACGAGGCTAAAGTAAACGACGAAGTTTTTTTTTGTTTTTTTTTTAAGAATCGTGCACCAACCTCGCCCCGATCCCAACAACACTATTTTACTGCACCCTTTTGACCAAAATTATAATACCCTTGCAAAGGTGTAATAAAAATAAAAAAAGGTTCAAATAATAATTTATAAGCTAAATCGCTGTGCAACAAGAGGGTATTCGAAAAGTGCCACGAAGCATACTGCTTCGGCAATATGCATCAACCAATAAGCACAGGTATTGTTATTAATACAACAGCATGCAAAATTGAAGCGGTTACGTTTTTTTTTAGCTTAATGCCGATTTTGAAATGATGGCATCCACATTTTGTGAGGAGATTAAATCTCTCCACACGCCAAGACATATGAGCGAGTTGGACGAATCCAAGGAAGGGGAAGTTGGAGTAGTTAATAGAGCGGTAAAGGTAAGCAACGGACGAAGAAGCGTTAACGCTGAAGACGAGCGATAGCCTAGGAGGATTCAGAGCAGATCAGAGTACGTTGAGATCTTTTATTCAATCTGTAAAAACCAAGACCCTAGCTATTAGCAAAGATTATACAGTACATAGATGGGACATCTCATACAAAGAAAAATTTTCCATGGCGGGTTCCATCAGTGGAACCCGCTGGAACGAGCGGGTTCCATTGCGCGACAAGTTAAGTTTGAGAAATTTTTCGCGCGACAAAGAATGAGGAATAGCCGAGTGGTAGAGTGCTTGGCTGGTGTGCAAAGTAAAACGAGTTCAAACCAGGCTCGGGAAGTCAATTTTTTTTTAATTTTAAATCTATTTATATTATTGTTTTATTATTTTAATGTGTTTTCCTAAATTTATAATCCAATAAAAAAAAATACAAAATTGTAAAATAACCTTAACAACGTCTCAGTTCGTAGTGGAACCCGCTGTAAAAATGTCTATAAGTGCGGGTTCTACGGCATTTTGGTAGGCCGCGTCATGGAACCCGCTCTCAAATGTTTTCATTTTTCCCGTCGTGGAACCCGCTGTATTAATGAAAACATTTGAGAGCGGGTTCCACGACAAACGGCTGGCAGATGAGATAGGGAGAGAGAGAATTCTATTTTTAGATCGTAACATCTTTGGAACGATGAAAGTTTGAAACGTTGTAATGGAACCAATGTAAGAGTAAAGCGATCAGAAATATCTTTTACTATCCTTACTCGTCAGCTCTGTTTTTGGTATGGATTCTAGCGCCTCCTTTAACACCAATTTTAAGTATCATAAAATCAACATCGAGGGTAGCCTAGATGGATAGTGCGTGGTCCTTATTTATGGGGTCCTGGGTTCGATTTCATTAGCGGGCGGTTGTTTTAACTTTGATAAAGTTTTAGTTTTATGATTATTTTTATATTTACTTTTATTTTTTTATTATTATTTTTTTTTAATTGCATTATATTACAGTTGTTGTAAAAATAAGTGACGGGCGTGTCGGATGCCAAAATACCGGAAGAACTTTCTTGAAATTTTATTAGCGGGACATAATGAAGAATAAAACAATTTTACAATTGTAAAATTAAAGAAAAATATTACAATTTAAGAAAAAAAAAATAATAATATTTATAAGGATTTGAACACAGAAAAATTACACATAGAGTAACTACTCTATGCATTATGCTACCATCCGGTCTCGATCTGCGGCGATCAAAATACTATTTGTTCTACCAACTACCACATCGGCGCATCGAAAAAAGAAACGAGAAATTGGAATTGAAATTTGGAAGCCAAAACCTTTTTACGCCGTCGCACTATAGGCCGGATGACCACTTTTTCTGGCCAAAAACCCATTTTTCGAAAGTTCTTATAATTAAGATTTTATGATGTCATTATATTAGTATAATATCAGACTTCAATATTACGTAACAGAAATTTTGACAGAGCCACGCTCCTTTAAGTTATCGGCTTTCAAAAACAGCTGTTCGGAGTGTCGTGATCACGTGTGCTTGTTATCGGAAAAAAGAGTCCATTTAAAGCTAATAAAAAAGGCACTAAACTTAGTAATTTATAAAAATGTTGTTATGGCATCGAAAGGGAGTGATTTGTACTATATGTTTTCGATTCTCAAATGTTGGTTTGTTTGGGATTGTCCCTGTAATTGAGTGTTTTTAACAGAGCTTTTGTGTGTGTTAATCAATAACAAAAACTAATGTTTAGTTAGAGATTTAAACGGTCTTTGAGCTAGTTTGACCTTAATATTTATACTGGGTTGAAGGTAATTCAATTCTTGTTCATATGAATGTAATATTAAAGTGCCCTTTTGCGCACTTTCTGCGTAATTCACTTTTTAACGTTGCAACCTCAGGCTTGCCAACATGGAGTTTTTCGATGTTTGGAGATCTGCTGCGACCAAATGTGCGAAAGAGAATGCAATATTGGCTAGATACAAAGTTTCTATAGCTGGTTCTGTATTTGAAGCCGAGAAAAAGCAGTCGAAGCTAAAGTTTAAAGGACGTATTCCACAGATCATTATATATATCAGACCCTACAATATCATCGGTTAACCTAGCCAACCGTATCAAACAACAAAACAGATAGCTTCTTCCAAAAGAAGTATTAGAATAGCTCCACAGTCCCTTAAGGAGCGCTGATGATCAGTATCAGTAAAATATTGAAGACGATCCACTTGAGTTCAGGGAAATGGAACTTGAGACCGAAGAAGATGTTGATTAGGTGAGCATGTGAAACAGTTTAGATTATATTTTACCTTTCAGGCCTTTTTAATAATAATTACTTTTAACGGTTTGGGCGTAGCAATTGTAGAAAACATGTCCATAGTTCCTGCCAGAAAGTGTCGGTGACACGCCTTTTTTTTAATACCTAAGCTTATGAAAAACCAAAATAAAAAACCAGACCTTAATATTATTGTTTGTTTTTAAGTTATATTTTTTTGCTATCTACTTTTATATAACTTTGGAAGACATAAAATCTAGTTCAGCCCAGAGGAGGCGGTGCCACGCCTATTTTCTCAAAATATGTTCCTTAGCTTACTAAGAACCCAAATCAAAAAACAGAACCCAAATATTTTGTTTCGTTTAGAAGTTATTAATTTTGGCCAGAAAAAGTGGTCATCCGGCCTATAGTGCGTCGTGCGAGCAGTCACACATACATACAAAGGCTCACAT